CATACCAAATTCTTAACAAAATGTCTCAGTCATCAAGGTTATAAATTAGAATGTATTAGATTTATTTCAAAGGTATTAATGATAAATGGAAGTGTGTTTTTTTTTATTTATAAAAAAAATAAACAATTTCTGATGTTTTTGTTTTTTTCTTTTCATGCATATTTATTAATCACACAGAAATTTTCCACCAAACTAATTAGATTGATATATATAAACAATATTGTTATTATTTTTTTGTGTAATTAAAATTCATTAAATTTATCTACATTATAACTCTCAATTTTACATAATAATTTATTTGTTTTTTTTAAATATATCTAAAAATTGTATTTCAAAATAAAATGACAATCTCCTATGCTTGATATATAAATTCCAACTATAGTTAAGTATCATATCATTATTTTAAAAATTGAACTAATTAGAGAATCTATTCCAAGAAGAGATATAAGTATGAGGAAATATTAATGATTGTTCTTTCTTTTTACCGACCCATTAATAAAAGCATATGAGTAATTGTTAAGTAAAAGTATTCTTCACATCATCACATGAGATCTATGACGTACATTTCAATCTCAGTAGGAAGTAAATATCTAATTTGAAAATGAATGTCTTTTTTATAATTTGCATGTATAAGCATCGAAATTTGATATTATATGAAATTCTTGTCAATTAGACAATACGATTATTTAAATAGAAAACAGGAAGTAGTAATCTTCTTTTGACTTCAAATCATGATACGATATCGATATTGATATTTGTTATTGATAAAAAATCATGATAGAATGTATAAAATAATTTGTTTTGTTCTGTATTTGCATTAATTTCGCATGATCTCTTATTTCTTTCTTATCTTTTGTAAGTGCCTGTAAATGAATTATCTATTGAAGAATATCAGTTTTTGGTTCTTTTTCTTGTTTGTCAAAATTTTTTAGATTATTCGATAATTTTTCTTTTGTGTTCTTTTTTTCTTTTTAGAAAAATGACAAGATGATATGAAATCTGTGATAGTATCTATCTGTCATTAAAGTAATTAGAAAATATCTGGTTTTATTCCTGACAATCTTTCACTACATTCATCTTATTTCTTGCTCCTCTGTGAGTATAAAAGCACACGCAAATGCAGAGCCTTGGTGCTTTCTCATTCACACTCGATTTTATCCGTCTATAGATAAATGAGTCGTCTGTTTCTTTTTTTCCCTAAGTTCTCATCTCCTCGTTCTCTATATGTCTTATGTTATTGTCATTAGTTCTCTCTGTCAGAAACAGAAAGAAAAAAAAAGAAGCGAGAAATCTACAAAAAAAGCAGAAAAAAAACCTAGTAGAAAAACAGCAGCATTTAAACAAAAACAGTCCAATGACAAGACGTTGATGCTCGACGCGTTCGCGTGCAGTCGTAAATTCACGGAACCCATCTATTAATCGTAATATTGGACCAAAAAAAAAGAAAAAAGCAAGAAATAAAAAGAAAAAAAATGAGAATGAGAGGGAGGAAGATGATTATTTAACAAAAGAAAACACAATATTAAAAGGAGACCTATAACAACGGAAATCAAGGAAAGAACTCATTTTTTTTTCTTCATATTCTTTTTTCATCCGTAAGTTTTATGCAATATTATGCTTATTTTGTTTTATTATATAATATATTCACAAATATTTTTTATATTAAAGATATTTTTGTTTTTTGAACTATTAAATTACAATATTTACTAATGACATTAAATAGTAGTTTAAATCAATTTGCATTTAATTTTTCTTATCTTGTGGCAAAAACCCCATTAATGACAATAATAAGTACAACAACTGAACCAATAGTTCCACTTGAAAATCGTTCACCAATTAAGGCAACATTTATATCGTTATATACGCTTATTTTTTTCTTTGGTATAACTGGAAATGCTCTTGTTATTTGTATGTATTAATATTTTGATTTTAATTAAAAACAAAACAAAAATTATTCTTTTGTTTTTTTTTATTAGTTGTTGTTTGTCGAAATAGAGCAATGCAAACAGTTACAAATGTTTTTATAACAAATCTAGCACTTTCAGACATTCTTGTAAGTCAATATTATTTGATGATTAAATTCATAAAAATATTTTTTGTTTATAGATGTGTTGTTTAGCTGTACCATTTACACCAATATCAGCCTATGGACATATTTGGCATCTTGGTAGAATTCTATGTCATTTAGTACCTATGTCATTGGGAATATCAGGTAAGATGATACTTATATGATTAATATTTTTTTTTCTTTCTTATGAATTTTCTTTTTTGTTTTTAGTTTATGTATCTACATTAACTTCTTTAGCAATTGCTGTTGATCGTTATTTTGTTATAGTACATCCATTTCGTTCTCGTATGCGTTTAGGTGTCTGTATATTATTAATTATTGTTATATGGATTGTTGGTATTTCAATATCTTTACCTTTAGCTATTTATATGCGATTTGATCGTACAAAATGTGAAGTAAGTTCAATGAAAAAATATAAGATTTGAAATATATTCTCTTATCTATTCTAATAGGAATATTGGCCACAATATACATCACGACGTTTTTTTAATTTTTCATCATTAGTTTTACAATATCTGATTCCATTTTCAGTTATATCATTTAGTTATTATAAAGTATGGGTTGCTCTTGCACGTCGTTCATTACCAGGTCGTACACGAATACGTGAAGAAGCTGAACTTTGCCGTAAAAAACGTACGAATCGTATGTTAATTGCTATGGTTGTTATATTTGCTATTTGTTGGTTACCATTAAATATTGTTCATATGGTTGCAGAATTTCATCGTTCAGAATTAAGTCATTATAAAGTTTTATTTTTAAGTACACATGTTATAGCAATGTCATCAACAGTTTATAATCCATTTTTATATTCATGGTTAAATGATAATTTTCGTAAAGAATTTCAACAAATAATACCATGTTTATTTAAAATGTGTTTATGCTTTAATCATAATAGATTAAAAAATATGACTATGAATACATTAGGTGATGGTGATATATATCCAGATCGTCCAACAACATATCACATGCCAATAGATTCATCATCAAATGGGAATACAAATGGTTTTACAGTAAAAAAAACAAATATAGAAAATGTTCCATTAACATCGATCAAACAAAGTCCATCAATAGAAGAACCCTTACTTATGTCAAATAATCCAAGAATAATTGATACAAATTTGAACCATATTTAACATTAATATTTTTTTCATGTTTTGTCAAAGCAAAAAAAAAAGAGAATTTATTAAGATTATATGTTTTTTTGCTGTGTATATTATTACAAAATAAAGAATTAAATTAAATATTTTAGATAAAAAATGTTAATTACAAAAATAATGATCATGCAAAGATTTTTAAGAGGTTAACTTAACCGTATATAGAATGCATCAAAGAAGCAATGACTTATTCCATCTCTTCCAGTTCAAATGAAAGATAATGAATTTTCCGTTACAACTCATAGTAATTATACGTTATAATTTTCTTTTTGCTTCTTTGTATTTATCTCAAAGTATTCAGAATATAATATTTCAGTAATATTCAATATAGATAATACTATAGAATAAGAAGAGAAAATTAAAGACTAATAAGAAAGGAATATCATGAAAAAGATCATTTGGATCTTTTTATTTATAAATTTTGAAATAATTCTATATTATTAGAAATTATGTTGTTGTATATATGCAGTCAGTCAAATAACTTAGTTTATAGAAAGAATATTAATGAATATAAAACTACTTTCGTCCAAAAAAAAACAACAGTATATGGCTAATACCAAAATAATTATTTTGAGCAATCGTTTGAATACTAATTATTTTGATATAAAATGATCCAACAACATCCAGGATTTATTTCTCGAGGACTGTTCTCTCAATCTTATTAGTTGTTTTATTATGAAATAGAAGTTATTTGTCTGACGAGTAACCACTCACAATTATTTTTTCTTCCTTGAATATAATTACTATATGTCATATTCTATTCAATTAAAAAATTCAGTGATTTAAACAAGTGCCGCGAAATATAAATTACGATAGATTCTTTTCTCCATATTTTTGCGACTCAACAGAACAAAAAAAATAATGCAACTATATTATTGTTTTCATTATGAGTTATAAACTTCGCTGTTCTTTTTTTTTGTTTTTTTAAAGCAAAATACCATAGAGCATGTCAATGACACCCTATGGGTGTATACTCTAGATTGAATTAGCACGATAGATATCGAAATGTGTAGGAGAAACAACCACATCCATCTCTTATGTAAAGGAAAAAGAAACACACACGCCTTTATCAATTCTTCTTATTTATCATTTTGTAGTTCGAATTCTTTTTTTTTGTGTTATTTTATTTATAATAATACTTTCACTAACTGATACATAGTCAGTATCTTGCGAGAACAACAAAAAACAAGTAATTGCTAAGACAGATGTTTGGTTATTCTCCAGATCGACGACATTTTATATACTAATTAGTTTGACTGGCAGAGCATAAATAAAGTGTGCGGTTCCCATGATGTCGCTAATCTGGAAAAGTACCAGATGTTCTGATGTATGAAAATTTTCTATCATATAAAAATTAGATCGTTTGAAAGTTCATGCTAATAAAAATTTTCTTATGATTTCTTTAATTCCTACTTTGCCGTTTGTTTTGTAAAAAAAACATGATGTTTTTTTACGATTTACGCATTTTAAATTATGTTGTTTTTGACTGTCAACATAGTGAGTCACAAAAATAAAATGGCCTTACATGAATTGTATACGTTTTTCTTAAAAAAATATTTTGTCGTTCGTTATTTGCGTTGCATATTCTTTTGACATACATATGAAAATAGTATTGGAATAAAATAACATGCTCGACATCCATAAGATTGTTTTTTTTTTCCTTCTATTCATATAATAATGAATTTAATTATCAAGCATCAGCTTGAATAGATTTTCATCAATAATGTGTTAGATATACATTCAATATTTTTTAGAAGTAAAAAAAAAAAAAACGAAAAATGGCTAGAGTGAATTTTACTGATTATTCAGGTTCATTTGTTGATGATGATTCAGGTATTGGTGTTAATTCTAATTATTCGTCATCAACATTGAATGAATCATGGCCGCCATATATTTCACAATCGACAACATCGATTCCATTTCCTCCTTCGCCGGCGACAACAACAACAATTATGAAAAAACATTATAATGCTGTACCGTTAATTAGATTTCCATCAGATGGTATTGTTGAACGTATTCGTCCAGTAACAATGAAAAATAGTGAAAATGGAGATTTTATTGTTTGTCGAACAAATCGTGGAACATATGTTGCTTATCGAACAACAATTGTTCCGGAATGGGTTAAACGTCTGGTCGAAGAAATCGAATATCAACAAAGATAAGTATTTGACTTGAGTTGATAAAAAAACTTTCTTTTTTTTTGTAACTATAACGAATTTATTTTAAAAACAATTCGATTCATGTGTTCTATGTTGTGCAGAATTATATTTGATGATAATTTCATCATTTCTCTATATGATGTGTGTCCTTAAAACTAACAAAAATGAAAAAAAAAATTCTTTAACCTTGTGACACATATTTGAGAAATCTAAACTTGAAAAAGTTTAGATTAAAGATAATAAAGAATTAATCTTCCCGGTACAGTGTATATTTTTAACACACTAATTAAAAAAGCTTTAGGCATTTCTAACTCTAAGAATCGCTTTACTCTTATCATTTTCAAGGTTCTTTTCTTTTTTTTTTTTTTTTATTCAATAAATTCGTTCTAAACTATTACATGTTATCTATCTAATTAAGATAGCTATACTCTTTAATTCATCTAAAAACTATTTTATAAAATAATATAATTCCATTGAAACATTCATCAGGCAAATTCAAGGTAGGTGTTTTTTTTTTCTAAATAGGAAATATTCAATGATGCAGAAAACTTTCAATATTATTGAACACTTAAACTTATACAAAATAAAAACTATCACCAAGATGTATATGATTTTTATTACATTGTACTTAGTATGACTAATAATTATTAACTTATATCACGCAAAGTGCAATATGAAAAGGAATGAAAGTACCGCTAAGAATGAGGTTGATAATATTCCTTCGGGGTCAATATTCTCGGTTACATTTCTTTCGCGTTTCAATTTCCTTTTCCTTCTATATAACATAAGTTGTTTACAGCTACTCTAACAAATTATACTTGCATTTTCTATTATAAATGAAATATATATGAATACAACCCTGGAATATTTTAATACACTATGATTTAATTATAATAAAATATATATATATATATGTTATTAGATCTAATATTGCAAGAATTTCGAGGAATAAAATATTGTAAATTTCATACAATTCGATGGTCTCAATAATAATATTTAATTTTCCAATACACATTACAGGCACACAAAAAAAAAAGAAACCAGCATTCATCATAGAACAATAATTAAGGGTTGAACATCATCCGATTAGAAAAATAATATAAAAAAGAAAAGAAACAAGAACAAATATCTATACATTAATATAGAAAAAAAAAAGGTCTAACATATTCATAATAATAATTTTCCTGTGAACATCACATTAAATTCGTATATTATCAAAAAAAAAAAGAAAAACAAAATCTTCGACTACAAGTCACTGTGTTGACTAGGAATTAAGATCATATCAAATTATCAAATGAACTTAAATATTCAAGTGCTGAACGATAACAAAATTGATATTGATCCTAGAAAAAAAACCAAGTAAATAATTATAATATTATTTAAGTAAAGTTTTTTTTTTTATTACTTCTGTTTGAACAAGTGCTGGTCGTTGTGTACGTAACAATTTCACCGTTTGAAATACATCAATAACACCTTCATACCTTATTCGTTCAAGTACAATACTTAATGTTAGAAATACACCAGTTCTTCCAACACCTTTTTTGAACGAAAAAATAAAAATCATTTTTTTTTTCTTTTTGTTAAAATTTTTTACCTGCTGAACAATGTACAACAATTGGACCATCTTGACCAAAACCTTCTTTAGTTTTATGTACTTGTCCTATAAAATCAATAAATCCTTCACCAACTTTAGGTACACCTTGTTCAGGCCATTCCGTATAAAGAAAATGTCGAATAGTTCGAGATTGACCATCCTAAGAATAAAGCAAAAAAAAAAATACAATACTAATAAAATCTCAAATAAATTCTTTTTACTCTTGTATCAGTTAATTTAAATTCACTTAATAAATATTGTGACATATGATATTCACCGAGTGGATCAACAATAAAATATCCATAACGTATTGATCGATCTATTGGCCAATATTGAGCACATTTTTCTCTTCCCATTTCTTTTAATTTTGTAAGCATAACAATTATTGTTACATTATGTTCCCATATCATTCTCCAAAAATCATCAATAGTTTCATTTAATGGTCCTTGTGTTGCAATATAACCATTTTTAAATCGATAACCCTAAAGTTTTCATATGATGAAAAAATATTTAATGCCTTTGTATAGAAAGGATTTTTTTACTAATGCCATTTTAAAACGAACAAAATGAGGGGTTGCCACCACCTTTTCTTAAAAAGTTAAAAGCAAAATTTATCAAAAAGTCTCTTTTAACTTTCCAATGGAAGGTCGTAGAGTATGCGGCAACCGCTCATTTTCTTTTCTTTCAAATAGCATTATTAAAAAGTAACATCTACAACCTGGAAATTACCATATTCAGTTATTTTAGAAACTCTCCCATCATAGTTCATCTATGAAAACTTACTATAGAATGCATTAGATAGAAAATTTCGTTGACTATCAAAATCACTATTCGGATTTGAACTATAGGTGCTTAACATTAGAGAAAAATACATAGTTGTTAAAATTTTCTTTTTTTGACTTCCTGACATATCTACTTTGGAAATTCATAAGTCTTCAGTAGGGAGCTGCAAGTCTACGTTTTTGTAGACTCGGATTCGAACAAAATTCAAAATTTGGATCCGAATCTGATCAGATCCAAATCTGAGATTTTTTTCATGAACATTCAATGTACAGTTACATCTTGTTGTTATATTTCTCATCTGGGGAGTAGCAAATCCACAAAAAACGTGTAACCGGGCCTAACAAAAAATAAAAGGTTGGATTCAAATCCGACCCGAACTCGGCCGGGTCTGGGTCTAGAAGGACCCGCAACTCCCTAATCTCCAATCATTTTTCTGAGAAAAGTTTTGTGAAACACAGGGGCAAAAATTCAGCAGCGTCTATGGTTTATTTTTCTATAAATCTCGTTATACATTTTATCATCAAGGATTTAGATTGAGGATTGATCCATTGGGACTATAGTTCTCTTTTGTTACAGTTAAAATGTAGCACATGCTATCATTAGATAAACCCGTTGGGTTAAATCCTCGATAACCCTTTCTGCTCATGAATAATATAAACGCTCAGCAGCTTGATAGAACCTTCAATAAACATTCCTAGAAAATCCTCCATATCTGCAAAATTTCAGGTAAAATTCGACAAAATTTTTCTAAAAAAGCAATTGAATACTGATGAATTTCGCTTTATTGAGTTTTTTATTGAATACTTACATCAATATAAGATGCATTAATATAATCAGATCCATCAATGCCACGTATTGGAGATAAACATACTCGAGTATTTTCATCTAAAAAGAAAAGAAGTAAATGAAATTTTTTTTTTCGAAAATTGAAAAAATGTATATTTACATGGTAAAATATTCACAAGACGATTTTTAAATTTATTTGATGGATTATTTGCACTAATAAATTTCGATGGTTGAGCTTTAATATTTGCTAAACGCTAAACAACAACAAAAGAAAAAAACAATTATTTTTCAAAATATAATTTTCTTCGTAGATTTTCTTTTTTACTTTAAATTCAAGTTCCATTTCTGTTAATGAACTATCATTTATTGGTTGTAAAAGTCGTTGTAAATGTGTTAATAAATTTCTAGCTGCAACTTCAGTTTGACCTGATTGTATTGCTTCATTTATTGCTTCATAGATAAATATATATTGTTCTTCAGTTTGAACAATATAATTTCTGTAAGAAAAAGAAAATTATGATATTAATCGTAATGAATGATCGAAAAATTATTTTTTAGCTTCTTAAAGGAGTCAGAAGAAAATCAGAAATCATTCAAAGTAAAAACAAAAGTATTTCAAATACAGCAATATGAAAGAATAAAATATTTTTCTATAAAAATAATATATTAATGATTAATTAAATTTGTACAACTGTCTCGAATAAAATTTATTTTTTGTGTGTATCTTACCGTTGAGCACGTAATAAAGTAACATGACCATAAATATCAATTGTTTTTTCATATTTTAATCGTTCTAATAAAGCATCAATAACAATAAAACAACCAGTGCGACCAACACCTGCTGAACAATGTACAACTATTGGAGTTGTATCAGATAATTGAAGAGTTTTAACTCGTCGAACAAACATTAAAAATGATGTCGCATGCTCTAATATACCATGATCTAAATATTTATATGTATATAATTATCAAATTAATATTTGACGGAAAAATATCTCTCCTTTCGATATGGAGATATATCCGTGGCTGCACTACGCGCTAGTTAGCTTCGTTTGAAATTTCTATTGTTAGAAAGATCTAATAATTTTGTTTGTTTATCTTACAAAATATTCTGTATACTTTATTGCATTTCTATTTAGAAATGACCATCGAATTTCTGATAGTTGTTTTCAATCGAAATATTTCTTTTAAATAAGTATATAAATTATTTTACTATTTGTCGTGTTAGTTTCTTATTTTGTTAATAGATTTTCAAATGTTTTTGTTTATTTTTATTTTATTCTAACTTTTTTTGTGTATTATATAAATGAGATATAGATGTATTTGCTGAAATAAATATAAAATCGAGCTCAAAAAATGAATATCCAAATTGATTTTCAACTCAATTGGAAATGCTCGAATTGCAGAAAAGTGTCCATACAAATTCATCCACGATTTTCTAACCAAAAATTCAAAATTCCAATTTCTATTGTCTTGAAAGTAGGAATTCATCGTTGCATTCATATGAACATTTCTAAAATATTCCTTTTCTATTCTTTGTAATTTATTTTCTATTTTACGTTAGTGACTTATCCAGGGTCATTTCATAGTTGTTGGTACTGAGATTTGCACACAATAACTTGTGGATACGTGTCGAACAACGTATGGATTAATATTTGAAAGATAATCTCCATAAAAAGCATAAATGATTCAATTAAGAGGACACCTCCTTTCCGGAGTTTCCGAAGAACGATTTATCAAAAATATTTGAAACTTTCAGGGTGATAGAGAGATCTCGATGAGTAGAGCAAACGTTGTCATAGACTCCAAATTCACAAATATTTTCTTCTAGGAAATATCTGGGTCACAAAGGCTAAAAAATTGTCCCACTTCCTCAACTGAAATACATGCGATAGAGCTGGAATGCTGTTTTTTTTTACAGACACTAGACACTATTTGGGATGCCTACATTGTTTTGATTTCTTTTTACCCTTCTTTCAAAACAAAAAAAAAGCGAGCATTCGAAACAGTGTTCAGTATCTGTAAGAAAAAGTTCCAGCTCAATCGAGTGTACTATGTCAAAGAAATAAAGAGGATTCTATACGTATGAAACTTGAAAGTTAAATTCAATTCTAGTTCCAAGCTCCAGCTTTCAAATAGATATAGTCACTCTATCGATATGAGTGCCACGGAAATACAGACCAGAGATGTCCATCGCGGTTAGAAATCTGCCACTGCCATGCCCCGGTCCTAGAAGGAACAAGATTGTCCAGGTACTGTCGCAATTCGGTGAACTATATAAAAAGTTGTCGATATCGCGATGGTTTTCGACGAACTCTACCAAAATCTCTTCCGTCACTGCCAAATTAGCACAGTTGGATTGAATCCATTAGACTCAATCTCGATTCTGGCTATTGGACTTGCAGACACTCAAATTGGATGCAAATTCATTCAATTTTACAATCTCAATAACAGAAAGAAGCTGTCACTACCGCAGTGGTATTCTTGAAACATCTTCCGTGCCGCTAACGCTGTTGCGGCAGTGCTACCATAGACGTCTCTGACACAGACACGCACTGCATCTCGCTCTACATGAATAGTCGATTGAAACTCAAAGAATAACACTGTTCAATTGAATTCAAGTTCGACACTACTGGAGAGGGGAGAATGATGAGTCTAGTTCGATTGTTTCGTTAACCTTTGAAAAGATAATTCTCGAATTATTCGTCTTACCCGGCCATGCTGTAAATTGACAATGTCGAACTTCTCGTTTTTCTGGATGACCACTCTAAAAATTATACAAATTCAATAATCTTTAAAAGAAAATGATTTAATCTTACCCATGCTATAGTAAATGTTCGTATACTATAAGAAGCTAATTCAATGAAATCTGTTAAAGTAACTTGAATAGATCCATATGTTTCCGTTCCACGACTTGGCCAATATTGATCACATTTAAGACGATTTCGTTCTTCTAATTTTGTCATCATAACAATACAAGTTGAATTTGTTTCCCAAATCATTCTCCAAAAATCTGCAAATGTATTTGGTAATGGTCCTTGTGTTGCTACATAAGCATTTGGTTTTCTATAACCATCTAAATAATTTGCATTTATATAATCACTACCAATAATACCATCAATTCGTCGTAATATAACACGTGAATGATCATATGCAACAACATTAGCATAACGATTTTTTGTTTTATTACATTCAAGTTTAGAATTTTCCCAAGAAAATTGTTCACCTGGATCAATCGACTAAAATTAAAAATTTTAAATGATTTTGTTTTGTAAACTTTTTGAGTAAAAAATATGGGTCGATCATATTTTGGATTATATCAATATCTCAAGTAAATAAGTTCTTATCAGATCTGAATTTATGACTTTTATAGCGATAGTTTTCTTATCATATCAGTTATCACTAGTTCATAGATATCTCGCCAAAGCTATGTTTTATAGTTCGGTACATATAAGGCAATTTCATTCGTTAGCAACGTGATTTCGCAAACTCTGAATTTGGACATTTCTTTTAGCTTAGTCTTAATGTTATATATGTATGTTGAGTAAGTCTAGATACTCTGAGAAACTCAGTGCTATAGGCCTTGGTTCCAATGAGTTATTATTGAAAAGCTAGCGTTAGCGATGTGATACAAAAACAAGAACAAAGCCTTTCACTGGGTGCAGTTCCGTTTACAAATCCTACATGTTCGAATAATATTTTTGAAAACTAAATAGCGTGTTTTGTAGAAGACTATTCAGGCTACAAAATCAGTACACAAAATTTTTCCTGAATGTGGATTGGTTTTTCAAAAAGTTGAGTTTATTCGTTGTTAACAACGTAAGTGAGTACGACTACCGAAACGAAAAATCCTCCTGTAATTGAAAGAATTATTCAAAAACCAATTATAAATGGTACGAGCCCTTCTTAGGAATCGTGAGATGATAGGAAGACAAAAGGCCAACTTTTGGGAGGCAATTTTCCGAAGTTCGATCTCGCTGAAAATTTCACCATCGATATACTCTATGGCTTGGAGTCTGTTCTGAAGTTCTTGAACTTTTCCATCATTATATTAGAGAATTATTCACTAATTAAGTTTAATTAGGTGTAAACTGAAAAAGCTAATAATATTTTTGACAATAAAATCACATCGATAAAGTGCATATATTTAAAATAACTCATGAACAACAATGAATTCAACAAATAGTCTTTCTAAAAACAATTAAATGGTTTCTTCAAATACAAATATTATTGTAAAACTCTGCGTTACGAAAAAGTCTGGTTAACTATTTTCATGAATCAAAGATGTTCTTTCTAAGAATAAAATCTTTCCTAACGAAGAGTGGACGATCGCTATCTAAACACAAGGTAAAAGAGTCTTTATTTAGTTTCAATTTCAATTTGAATTAGAACCATTTCTTCTATAGCAGAGATGTCCATGGCGGTGCTGACACGATGGATATCTATGTTCTATAGATGTCTGTTGTTTTTTTTTTAAACAATTATTCATTTGTCTTTCTCTTACTTCATATTCTTGAGAAAATTTATAATTGTCTACAGCTTTCAAATGTTCAAGATGTGTTGCAAATTCTTCAATTGGTATCGGTGGATAATTTGTTATTGGTTGTATTCGTCGTATTTCAACAGGTTCACCAGATGAAGCTGGTGTTATAGTTGATGGTAAAATTGGCATTTGCATTTCCATTGTTAAAACTTTAGGTGTTAAATCAAATGGTACACATTCAGGTGGTGGTGTTAAAGATTTCTTTTTTGTTCGATTAAATTTTAATGAAAATAAAATAACAATAATAAGAATAATAAATAATAGAAATATGATACCAAATATCCATAATAATTTATTAAATGTTTCTTCATTAGATGTTTGAACTAATTTTGTTTGTATATGTATTTGTATTGTTGGACTTGATGTTGTTAAATTTTCTTTTTTACTATTAAAACCCCATGAAACAAGTTTTACTTTAATTGTATTTAATATTGGTGAATTATTATAAATTCGACCTGAAAATGGTTCCCAATCGTGTGTTTGTTTTCCATCACCTAATATAAACATTTCCGGTAATTGAGATTCATTAAATACTGCAGCTGTATAACAACATTCACGACGACCCTATTAACACAAAAAAAATTATGAAATGTGATTAGAAGGTTTTAGAATTGTAGAGAAAGACTTCTTCTATCGCTTAGTACCATTGGCATATGCATAGATGGCGTCACCTTCATCACAGCAAAGGTGGTACTACCTTCTAACATGATCGTGACAAAGGTGGCGTCATCTATTACCATGGCAATGCTACATCATTAGATATAATAAGTATATATTTCGTTCTATAGTCAAAAGCTTCTAGTCGTTTTTCTTTTAATAGAAAAAATTTACTTCTTGTGGTACATATGATGGATATGTTGTATAATCATTAAGATGAACAACAATATAATATCGATTAATAGGGCCATTTTTTGTTGATGCACGATGTAAACGAAGATAAAATTGTTGATTATTTCCATTGATCACTGTACGTCGATCTTGTTCAGGTCGATCAACATATGTTGGAGAATCATAATCAGTTGAAAATCGTATTGTTGCTGGTCGACTATAAATTTTAAACGTTGATTGTTCTGATGTTGTTATAGTACCAGTTAAATTAAGCATATAATGTGTATTTGGTACTAAACCAGTTACTAACCATTCACGTTTACCTTGTGTTGGTGGAAGTGTTATAAGACCAGCAGAATTATGATGAGATGTTGAACGTGCTGTACCTAAACTATCGATATAATTTTGTACACCTTCATAATGAACCTAAAAAAGTAATATTTAAAAGATTTATTTGTTGTACTCATATAGAATTTTATAAATTTAACTAACTTCAAGTTTTTGTATTTGTCGATGTGGTTCATGATTTGTTTCATTAAATAAAAATAATAATTTAACACTATTAGATGTTAAATCTGTATAAGTCATATTATATGGGCGACTTAATTGATTATCATATTGAATGATATATTTTGTACCTAAATAAATCATTTTGTTAAATGTTTATAACTAGAGTGAAAGAACCGGAATTCAAAAATTAACCTGGATGTACTGATATTGACGAAAAGCTCAATTTTTTGACAAAAGTAAACTATATGATAGGTACACTCAGCAAATATTCTGAATCTGCATATCGTCTGGTAGGGAGCTGCGGGTCCTTCCAGACCCAGATCCAAACTCGATCGAGTCCAGATCTAAAGTTTTATTTTTTTTCGGGCCCGAGTTCAACCTTTTATTTTTTTGTTGGGTCCGGTTAGAAGTTTTTGTGACCCCACTGCTCCCTAAATGAGAAATACAGAAACAAGATATAACTGTGCGTTGAGTTTTTTTTTCTGAAAGTAGCGGATAAATAGTTGAAACCTTGATCCTTCACTTGTTCATGTACATGAAGGGTGCCAGGTGTTCATAGAGAAAAACCTCAGGTTTGGATCCAACTGAGTTCGGGTCTACAAAAACGTGAACCTGCAGTTCTCTATCGTCTGGTATCGATCGTCAAAGAAATCTTTTAATTTGAATATGTGGTTTTCAAGTAAAATAATTTTCCAAATGACTAAGCTCAGTAAAGCGATCGTGCGCTTCTTTAGCTCCAATCCAAAGTATTAGAATGTTCTATTCTGTATCCTCTATCATCACAGTTGATGTAGACATTTCTGAACCATACAGCAAGTTTTCCGCTAAACTTGTCTTTCTCAGACTTGAAAATATTTCTATTGAAAATCAATGGTACATTCGGAATCACCGCATGAAATTAATCAAAAAATCCGAGCAACGATTCCCCTCACGAGGAAAATCTTCCATCTGATAAATCACTTTTGTGACAAGACTATAAAAGGCATGACATTAGTTCTGATTCCCTTATACAATATTTTTTTCTTACATGTTTCAAGAATCGGAAAGATTAATATTTACAGTATGTCTAGATCTACTGTATGCTAGAATTTGAGCTTTCTATTTATTACTGTTACCGAGACACAAACATTACCAAAATAAAAAAAAATCGAAATATTTTCAGAAGTACTTGAACATTTTTAAAACTTGGTTACTATCTGGCACAAAAAAGTACTGCTCAGGAGAGACATTTACAAATCGAAATTTCTTTTAAACAAACAGTAAAAACACATTCATCAATATTTATGTACTTGTTCTTCATTATTGTACTACTTGATTCTCCAAGTCTAATTCATCGTCAAATTGTTCTCCTCTCAATTTTTGCTTCACCTATTTCGACATCATAAAGAGTCAACAGTATTTTTCACAATCGTTGTCCTGTATTTTCTGTCTTGATAGATCGGTGTCAAACCAATATTTTTTTCAATACTTGTTTTATTACTAATGCTACTTCTTCTATCAAGAATTTCGCATATAAATATATAGTAGACCAAAATCTACTTATAAATAATGTATGGTCAAATGAATACAATTTTTCTCACTCATAATTATTTCAAATTATAATTCAAAAATTCTTATTATTTCGGTAATGATTGTATCTCTGTAACAATAATAAGTAGAAAGCTCAAATTCTAACACAAAGTAGATCTAGAGATCTAGTATATCTACTGCAGGTCTCTAAATCGGACCACATTTTATGGCTCGAGCCTGAAAAAAATTTCGTTTACAAAGATTTTTCTCAATGGAGAGCTATTGCATATTTTTCGTCTTTTAGGAAAAAGTGATGATCGGAGGTAGCGCAGAAACTTTCCCCCTATCGTCTCTCGGAGATGAGTCAAATGTCAAAAAAGGATAAAATCGTCGGGCCGGGTCACCGAGTCGAGTGGCCCGATATACTGTAAATATCAGTCTTTTCGATTCTTGACATATGTAAGAAAAAACATATTGCATAATGGGATCAGAACTTATGTTATATCCTTTATGCATCATATAGACACAAATAAGCTACGAATATTCTGCAAAGAGTTCATGTCCTTAGCTTATTACTGTGGAGATACTACATTTTTACGATTTGTTTTTAAATGAATATCGTAGTAACAGGAAACCTGATTTCCAGATTTCAACAACGAGACTAAGCTTTTTGTGACATAACTCATTCGGATCTACATAATGTATATAGTCTCGACTCAAAAGCGATTTATCAGTTGCGACGAGATTTCTCTCGTAGGGTTTTATTTTCTTAAAAGTGATATGTAATCACTTCTAAACAATAAAAGTTGTATGATACGAAAAATTTACATTGTAATAGATTTGTAGTTGTATAGCAGTTATTTTTTTTTGATTATTTTAGTTCATTTCTCTTGGGCATTATTCATCACTGTTAGTACTTGTTACTAGTACAAATCGATAGAATAATGAGAAAAGCAATAATACATAAAAGTCAGCTTTTATTAGATACATCATTTTATTTCTGTTTTCGATACTTCTAGTTTCGACATAGAATAGTCTATTTTATCTTTTACTTACGACGATATATATCAGCTACATGAATTTCCGATAAATCACCTTCACGTCTTGTTGTTCCGGATGTATATAATGGATCAGTATGAGAAAATTCAGCACTAACACGTACATTATACATTGCAGCTGGTTTCAAACCACTTATAATAGCTGATGTTACACCTAAATTAGTCGGAGAATAAAGTGACCATTGAGGTTCAGGTTTATTTTCAGCTTTATCATTATAATGAATTATATATCGTTCAACAGGTGGATAATATATTGATGACCAAAAAACTTGAATTGTTGTTTCATTTATACGAATAACACGAACATTACGTGGAGATGGATCTAAATATATAATTACAAAAAAATAAACATTTTTTTTCCAAAATATAATGATTTATATTTTCTAGTTTACAAATAGATGAACTCGGTGTTGAATGATAATATATACTGGAACGTAAAATAAAATTATAAATTGGATAATAATTTGTTAAGATAAGTAGAAAAATATAATAAAATTTTATTTGATACATTAATATAATATGTAATTGATTCTATTCTCATTTAGAAAATGTCATGTCAAACTGAATTAATATAATATCTGTCCAATGTCAAGGAAAAAAATTCTCTCTATACTTATTCTACTCTTTAGAATAGTTAATGCTATAGAAGAACAAAAAAAAAAAAAAGAAAAGAAACAAGAAAAAAAAAAGAGATATCGACTTTTTCATTAGACTTTTTTCTTGTCTTTTCAGAACAAGTAAATATATATAAAAAGAATACTGTGTGTTAGAAAGAAAGGAGCGACAATAAGCATAGCTGTTATGTGAAAAAGCTTTAGCCATGCACACACACACACACGTTTGCCTGATTGAGCTATCTAATATAATATTTTATTAAACAAACAAATGCAAAAGACCTTCGGCTTTTTTTCATTCAATGTCTATCAATGATCCTTTTTTTTTTTATTTTCCGTATATAATAATAAACGAGTAATACTCATCGAAATGTGCGCTTATATTTTTTTTTTGCTTACAACAGGATGCCATTGTATTAGTAGGAGAAAAGATTTTCTTGCATAAAAAAATAAAAACGATAAACTTACTTAACATATTAATATAAAGTTGATAATCAATTGTTGAAGAATTTTGACCATTACGATTTAAACACCGTGCAGAAAAATGTACAGTTGTATTTTGATGAATACTATATGGTTCATTATCATTGATTTGAATATCGAGTTTTTTAATTGTATTATCAAATGATTGCATTTGAATTGTTCGATTTATTTGATTAAGTTCAATAATTGTTATATAGATTTTATCGATATCATTTACATTAGATGGTAAATCCCATGTGACACTTAATGTATGAGCATTAACTATATATGCAGTTAAATTACTTGGAGAAAAATTTCCTAAATACAAAAACAAAACAATCGAATTCTATTTTTGATTTATACTCAAATTTAAATATTATGATTCTTTTATGTAGTCTAAATCGATCTCTCTTTTGTTTTGCGCACTAGATGAAATATAATAATTATCTTATCATAAATGATAATATGACTATTTGTAGAAATAGAAATCAATTCATCACATGATCAATCACACATCAAAGAATATTCGATAATACGTTTAAAAATATAAAATATCAACACTTATCAATAGTAAATGTAATATTATAGATTGGTCTAGAAGTTATTTTGATCAAAGAATATTTTTTTGTTGTCTAGAATTTAATTCAATAGATTGATATTTTTGTTTTTAGAAAAACATTCAAATCTATGTTTGAGATTTGACGAAAAATTCATCGAATTGATATTCTTTTAGCAAATATTACACTATGAAATATCGAAAGAATATTGTAACTGATTTTTCTCCAGGAAAGAAAAAAAGTATGAATGAAATTGTTTAATCGAACTGGAAGAAAATTTTCTCGTCAAAAAATATTAATTACAACATTTGTTCTATTACATTTAGAAATATTCCTTTCATTTTTATACAGTCCATTATTTAAAATCAACAATGATATTTTCAATTTATATCAATTGTTTTTTCTCTTTTGAATAATTCTTCTATACCATCATTTATTACTAATAATACTATAAATCCATTTTTTATCAATTCAACGGATCATTCCAAATAAATGACCTTATACCTTGACATCATCATCGTTATCTTTTCTATCAACGACCAAATCAATGTCATCATCTATTTTCTTTTTTTCAATAAGAACATTTCTTACAATGTAATTACTAATCAAACCTCTGACAACAAAATCTTCTTATCGAAATTATACATTTATTCGATGTATTCTGTCAATTTGTAAGCTTTCTTTTTTTTCTTGCTTAACTAATCTATATCTAGTATAGTCGTCGTCTACAAATTTATCTATAAAAATAAAAAAAGAAAAGCTATTTGATTAAACCTCTAGACATCGTTCATTGAAATTATTTTTTTAAGAAACATGATTACATAGGAAATTATAGACTAAAAACATTTGTCTGAGAGTATAAAATTTAATCATTGTACTGATCAATCAATTGTTCGATTTTTTTTTTATTATCAATCATCCGGTCAAGTATGCCTAAGGCTAGTTTATCCATTTCTTTTTTTTCTTTTTCGTTGTTATTTCTAGTACTAATTCAAATCATCAATTCTTTCTTTTGTTTTGCACATCCTTTCTTTTTTTTTTCTATTTCTTAATCTATACTTCTATATGATTGAATTCTTTACTACAAGAAAATTGTTTTTAGCAAGAAAAAAAAGTCTTGTCTCGCCTACAAGAATAAATATTTTATTATATATATAACTATATTTATTAAGTATATATATGTGTAAAAGAACCTTGTTACATTCATCAATACTATTCAAGTGTTGATAGTTGATAAGAATTTATGATCAACTACTACTCATATAGATGATATTTATTATTGTTGAAAGATCATCTGCACTTAGTCAATGAACACATTGAATTAGTTTTGATTTATTCTTGTTAAATCTATTTAGAAATTTGTTCCAATAAAGGCATGTTATTTGTTTTTCAAAGTTAAACAAGAATAAATTCCATATATATGTCATATAGAACGACAAATCTTTATATGATAAAAATTAAAAAAATTGATCAGTTGCTCGTGATTACTATATACATATATCTAGTTACTACTCACAGTGATCTATGCCATGTATACATATATATGATGCAAGAATGATTAGAGGAAAAAAAAAACAAGTTTTCCCAGCAGCAGTTCTAGTAAATTAGATACAACATTCTGTTCACCAAAAAAACATTTCCCGTTGTTTCAGCAAATTAATTATATAACTAACACATATTTATTCATTAAATAATAACCTGTCTATGTATCAACCTGAATTTTGGACTAAACTCATTTATCTTCATAGAGAGAGGATATATACAAATTTTCTATATATATATATGTAGATAACCATTGATAGATATATAACTCATCAGTATGAGAAAGAAGAAAAAAAAAAACTTGTCAATTACATAAGAAAGTTTACTATTGATTTTCCTATCAATTTACTGTTGAATACACACACAGATCACTGAAGTATCTCATTATGATCAATCATTTTGTTTTGTATTTTTATACGCGCTAAGTAGAACTTTTATTTTCTTTTTTTTTGTTTTGTTTTTATTAACTTACGAGAATCTTCTTTTGGTACTGTAAATATATAAGCTACACTTGGTTTTCCATCACCTTTCTTTGTAAATGCTTTAACTTGTGCATGATATGTTGTACCAGGTATTAAATTACCTACAATATCCCAATACTGTGTACCAATAGTACCTTGATAATTTCGATGAACAATTGGTGGCTGAATTGAATCAGGTGCAAAAACAATAACATAAAAACCTTTAATCATTCCACCAAGTAATGATATATCATCTGGATTATTGGAATCAAGTGGATATATCCATGATATATTGGCTGCTGTTTGATTAATCATATGTGCACTTACATTAATAGGTGCAACAAGTGGAACTAGAATTGAAAGTAAGATCAATAATAACCACATTTGTATAGAAAATATTTATGCAATGGCCAAAACTCTATAATAAACGACTATTGCTTTTTTTCCTTTTCCTTTCTTCCCATGTAAACTTATTTTCCTTTTTCTGTGTTTCTCTGTCTCTCTTTGTGTCTCTGTCTCTCTCTTCCCTTCTCTTTCTCTCTTCCCATCTCATACTCAACAAGCTGCAAGAGCAGTTTGTTCTATTTACTTCATCAGCATAAAAATGTATCTCATTGCTAAATTAGTGTTTCTAGCAATATTCAACTTCAGCTCTGAAAAAGAAAAAAAGAAATTTTTTTTTTGTTTTCTATTATTCTTTTTTTGAACATTCCAATGATATGATGTTAATTAAATACATGAAAACATAACAAGACATTGATTATGTTCTTATTAAATATGATATATGTTTATTGAACAGAATCATTCTCTGTCTGTTGGATGATTATGTTTTCTAGTAAAAGACAAAGAAGCTCAATGACAATTGTCATTTGAAATTCATTGAGAATTTGTATTTTTCAGGCGACAAAAGAAAAACCTGTCTGTTCTTTTCATATTGTTTTATGAATGAGTGAAATATAGAGGACAATCAACCTTGAATGTGTCATCTTCCGTTACAAATATACTTGTCTTATATGCAATTCAATCAGGCATAACTGACACATCTTTCTCTTTTGCTTTCGTCTACTAATAGTCTCATAAACCTTGCCATTACTAAACTCATTTGTCGGTTGTATAATCAAGCCTTCTAATATCTGTATTGATTCTCTCTTCTGTGTTTTTTCCCCTCCTCTTTCTATATGCTGTAGTTTGGCTTACAACGACTCGGTGTAATTGAAAAAAAAAGAAGTTAAATGATGATGATGATGATGACAACCAGAATATATGTATTCTACTGGGAATATTTCTTTTTTTTTTTTTCTACTTTAAACAAATGCCTTATGTTCACAGTAGGTCTCTTCGTCTAGTATTCTTATTGCTAGAAAAGTCACGCACATATATTCATAAAAATATATGACAAGATGATCTAACCAAGCAAGTTATATTACTTTTTAATAGAATTGAGTATGTTCGTTTCATGTATATAACAAGACTTTGTCTTGATCACATCAATGTTCATTCTATGAATTAATTTCATTTTCTTTTGACTTGTTATTTATGAATAATTAAAGAAATTTTTACGAGCTTGAAAGAACATCTTAAGAACTTTTTGATACTTCATATATTAAATAGTAAATAAAGACTTGACGATAAAAAAAAGAAAAAAAAAAGAAACAGATCAATTTCATTCGAATAAATATTTCATTATTAAAATAGAAATCTATATTGAAAAACGATTTATGATAGATTATTTCAAGAGAATAGAAACATCAAAAACTAACGATCGTTTCTAATCATTATGAATTAAGATTGCCAGACACTTCGAAATTAACTCTTTTGTAGAAATTAATGTACCTTCATTATACTACTGTAATCATTATATAGAGTACAGAACTTCGAGACTATTAAAAGTATACATGCTCTTGAATTTAAAATCTTTTTGAACTAAACTGAACCAATTATTTTATTAAAAGAAGTGATTTGAATAAACAATTTCGTTAAGTTTAAGAAAGAACTTTTTCACATGATAATTCTAATATATTAAATTGACATCGATTTATGTGTGAATTACAAATTCGAAGATGAATATAAGTGAAGAGACAATTTATGTATTTAAACATCAAAAAAAAAAAATTAATGTTCCAAACCAAACTTCTAATTTATAACTTTTCAATCTGGTAATCCTCCTACGAAGCTCAACAAATATTTATTATATAAAATGTAAATAAAATACTTAAATCATAACACCATTTTATATGACATTTTCTAATCAAATAGCTTTTTAACTTCACAATATAAAAGACTATTATTATTTCAGTAGCTTTGTTCAATGTAACTTATAATTATTCATAACTTAAAAGAAAAAAATCAACTCACAAGCTTATCATCGATGTAGGATGTAATCAAAAAAAGATTATTTTCTTTATCCGCGAGGCAAATAAAGTAAATACTCTCTAGTTATTTTATATTATAGACACAATTTTCACCTTCATTTATCGAACAAAATAACTGTTTGAATATTATCATTTATACGACCAATATTTTGACATGTGCACATACGTTGAATGATTAATGTATTGTATTTTCCCCACATGTCAATCGATGTGATTGTTAAGAAGACTCTGAAGTTGAATGAAGATGATAATTATGATGAATAATAAAATGAATGAAATTATTTTCATTCATACCTTTGATAGATTATGTGTTAAGACAAATGATAAAGTACCATTCATATTTCATTTATAAAGTCATATTTCTTTTTCAATAGAACAAAAGAATATGTTATGGATACTACTGAAAAAGTAATGAGTTATGTTAATCAGTACTCTTCACTCTTTCTTTTTTTTTTTTTTTGTAAAACATGTACATTAAAATTTAATTGTAATTGCCCTATCTCGTTTGACTATGTGCCACGGAATATAACAATTTAGTTATAATATTAAGAAATCACAAAAAAAAAGAAAAGAATTCTTTTCCATTGTGAATCATAACTACTAACAGGATCTAATTCTATTGATAATCATTGAAAACCCTAGTGATGAATACCGGAAATAAATTCTAATTACAATTATACTAAATGTATCCATGCTTAATAAACTATATACTTAATATAAAATGTCAGATTCTTTTTTTCTTTTAAAGTTACAAAAAAACTCTAACAGATGTTCTATGTTTCAAATATTATTGTTAAAAAAATATAATCATTCATAATTTATTATATATATATATATATATATATATATATATGTATATTAAATATTCTTAAACGAGATATTTCATTTTTCTTTTTCTTTTTTTATTTTATCACGCACAACATCTATTCTCATTTCTTATTTATATTTCACATATAACTTATAAGTAAATGAACAGGATATTTTATTTTACCTGTTTCATCTGTCATAGCTTCAATACGTGTTGATGGTCCAGATGAATCTGTATATGATGAATTTGTATAAGCTTGTAAAATAATTTCATATTTTGTTATAGGACGAAGTTCATTTAAAATAATTTGTGTTGTATTTGTTTGTCGTACAATCCATGATTGATTTGAATTTATTGGACGATATTTTATAATATAACCATATATTGATGTTAAACGATCAGGTTTAGTCCATGATAAACGAATAAAATCTTTATCTGTTGATATTATACGTATATTATTTGGAATTTGTGCAAAATTATTTGTTATTAAAATGAATATTGTGTAGAAAACAATAAAATAAATCATGGAAAATTTGATAATTGTTTATATTAATTGAAAATAATCGGTCATCTAGTGTTGATCAAATAAACAATAAGTAGAGAAATAGCCAAACTGGACAGTTGATCGACAGTGTGAAAGAAAAACGAAGAATTCTGGTGTTTTTCTTTTTTTTTTTTTTTTTGTCTTCTTTTTCTGACACTCTACATACAAATAGAAGAAGAAAAGGAAATAGAGAATGGAAAAAGAGCGAGAAACACGACCTCGATCATCATCATCATCGTCTACTATTCAGCCCAAAGAGAAAAAAGAAAACGAGAAATATATTGTTTGAACATGATTGTATTGTTTCTCCATGTATATTGTATAGATTGAGAAAATGGACGATGAAAAAAAGAAGAAAAAAAAAACGAGAGAACGGATAAAAAAAACGACAGACATAAGAAATAGATCATGCCGACCGATGGTCGTCTAATGACTTCACCATTATTCATTTCATCTTTCTGACTGTCATCTATCTTCACACATTACTTGGTCAATTGTAGATTTGTCTACTACTATTACCCATAAGAAATTGTTAGTTTTTGTTCTATATAAATTATGAACAGTTGCATGTGACGCAAACAATAGATAGCCTTTTACGATAGACAACACTATTCTAATCAGGCGATAAAAATGTCTTTTGTGATAATCACATGTTTAATAGATATGCATTTATTGGTCGTCTAACACTTGCATTTTTCTACTAGACCGTACAACATACATAATAATTATATATAGAAGAGAAAAGAAATTAAATAGATAAATTAACTTTCTCATTCGTTATTATTCTTTTTCTATGATTGACCAACTGTACTACATTATTATTAAAGTAATTCTTCTCATTCACACAACCTTTTCTTTTTTACTATTAGCAATACAGATAATTATCTGAATAGAATATGATTAAAAACAAAACGTTACTTATTCTTTCTTTAAGATAAGTCAAGAGATAATCCAACAAGAAACAGACTAGCCAATTGATTCTGTATATATATGTATTGATTACCACATGCAAAGATCAAACAAGCAAATTCTCATGTATCACAGACAATGATATGTATATATATATATATGCTATTATGAACAACAGATAAGATGGATAGAAATCATCCTTGACAGTCGATTTCTATCATAACATCAATCGATCACGATTTCTGATACAAAAAAAAGAAAATTTTTGTTATTCTTACCAGATTTTCTTGTAAATATATAGTAAATAGGTGAAAGTGTTGTGAATAATTGATTTTGATTTTGATCAATAGTAAATAAATAAAAACGTAAAATATGATATTGATTATAATTTAAATTTAATAAAGATATATTAAATTCATATTTCAATACATTATATATTGATTGACGATTTATTGAAAGTAAGTCAATTGGAATTACTAATAATCGAATAAAATTATTATTCTGTGTTAAATCAGAATAATATAGAAGATAGTTTTTAATATGTAAATGAGATTTATTATCGATAGACCATTGAAGAGTTAATAATTGATTTTGATTATTTGAAAAACATTGAAATTTATTTATTGTTAATATCAAACGATTATTTAATAAACTATTATTAATTATATGAAAATCACTTAATATTAAACCTTTTGCATTAACACTAGCAATACGAATAAATAATTGAAAATTATTCGATATTGGTAATGAAATAATATAAAATGGATATGTATGAATGATAATATTAGACCATTGAGAAAATGGAATGGATGTATTCGTTGTATAGTAGAGAATGTAATACTAAAATAGTAGATAAACATACAGTATACCATATATGGCTTATCAGTACTTAATGATCAACTATGCTAGATAATTTAGCAGTTATCATAGATGAGATAGTTTTGGAATCAAAGTCAAAAAGATTATATGTACCTATAGTCTATTTGATTGACATTGTTCTTAGACAAAACAAAAAAAAAATACATAAGAGAATTCGAAGATGCTAATAAGAAAGTGTTAGTGAAATCTCAACGGAATTACAAATATGAAACATGATATAAAGTTACTTAGATGGTAAATAAGAAAATTATTACAAAAAGGTTATTTAGATTTATAGTGAAAATAAATTGTTTATTGTAATGTATCATCACATATTTGGAAAAGGAGTAAGTACAGTAGACTTTTTTCAATATTATTTTTGACAGTTGATTTAGTTTTGAAGATTATTCTTCATATTCTATTTTGAATGAAAAATATTTATAATTATAAAACTAATTAGATTTAAAATCAGTTGCATCTAACGATAAAACTTTCGACTATCATTGTTATGTTATGAAAATTTACAAATAAAAAGCTGTTAGTGCAATTCCTACGAGACTAATGTAGTTGCTCTTGCTAATCATAGTAAGATTATTTTATTCTATTTATTTTAGGATACATCTCTTTATTATTCTTCTCCAGAAATGTAATAGAGGAAATAGTTCATATATTACACGTATCCATATGTTACTACGTGCAAACGTCAGTATCATTCACTATAGAATGACCTTGGCCAAGTCACTAACGGCTATTCATCTTACATCATCCATTCGTTAATATGATGACTATGCTGTGACATACACCTGCTCTTGTGGCTAGTATGTGATTAGTCTTCTGTATAGGCACAATTTTCTGCAACCGGACTCCGATATCCGATCAAAGCAAATTGACATCCGACACATACTGATTATTTGCGGTTTATTTAACCTTCTATCTATGATAAGACCTAAAGGACGTAATGCTGATTACAAGTAATTTTATGAAGAAAAAAAATAATTAAAGCAAAGAATAAACATATAGCAATATGAAATAATGAGCACAGATAATATGAGTCACGAGCGATGGTTTGCAGAATCGAACCACCTTGATATACGAACAGAATGTGTAGGCCGTCGACGAACGAGTAGATTGAGACGTATAGAACAGAACAGAATTATAAAAACACAGTGCTATGGGAGGGAAGGCGTGAACTTGATGTTAATTCTCGAGAAATGAATATGTTTATATTCTGCAAATTCTTCCCACATCCTACAGATACTTTCACAGTCACAGTACAGTTTTCAAACTGTTATTCTATATGAAAAAGTATATTATTTCGTTTCTTCCATAAACAACAACCAAAAAAAACACAAAAGTGATTCAGAATTCATTTAATATTTTTCTACTTCTGAAATCCGATCAATTTCGCTAAGTATTCATTTGCTTGTTGCTGGTGACACTGAAATGAAACGTATTATTGTTATCAAAATATCATAATTATGGATGCATGAATGTTTTTTTCATCATGATAATACATATTTATCTTTTTGATAATTCATTTTTCTCTCCATATTTTCGGTGACTTCGTTATATGGTGCATAGGCGAATTTTTGTGAAAAGCAAAATTCTTTTAGTAACACAATATCGTTTTCACTTTTGTGACTCGTTCTCAAAGTTTGAAAAAATTAAAAATATTTTCTGACATCGAGATCTCATTAATTGCTGTACCGGATCTGAGTATGAGATCATATCCAGCAAGAATTCTGCGCCAGATTAACTTTCTTTCCAAAGCTATAGCTATTGTTAATTGTAGGGAAGACTTCGGGCTATTGAATTTGGCATTATGCAGCACTTCATACTAAAAGGCAGGGATATTTTTACTTTTTTCAGTTTTGTATTATTAAAATATAAATTTCTTGTTTTCTCTCTTACAAAATTAGGTCCATTTGTTGAATTAGGTGGTGTCCAATGAACAACAACTGATGTTTCATTCCATACATAACCATGAAGATTTTCGATTTTCTGTGGTATAGTATCGAGTGTTATAATAAAAACTGGATTTGAATAATCTGTTGGTGTATCACTAATAAAACCTTGAAGCCGAAATTCATATTTTGTAAATGGAATAAGATCGATTATCTAATTATTTCATCAAAAAAAAAAAAAAAAGAAAAAGAAAAAGAAATAATCATCACCAGTCTTTCTTTCGTTTTATTTGTCTTACTTGAAATGTAAAATTATAATTTGTAATACGCGGATCAATAAGAATTTGTTCATAATCTTGAATATTAATCATTTCATCATATTCATTTATATTTTCCTCAAAATTATGTAAACGACGATAATAAATAATGAAATGATTAAAATAATCATAACGTTCATTTGATATATTCCAATTCAAAATAACACTTCGACTTTTTACATTACTAAAACTTAATAATGGTTTTATTTGAGTATCTATAAAAAAAAAATTCTACAGTTTAAAACAAACATATTATTTCCATATAAATTTAGATCTGATTTAATAATATAAACAAAAATCTTTTTGCGTACAAGAAGAATCAAATCGGAAATAGAAAAGAAAGAAAAAAAGGACTTAATTATAAACACCTCAAATCCAAGCGACATTCAGAATAGGATAATTATTAGCAATACAAACAAGATCTTTTATATCATTATGTTAATAACTATTATTTTGAAGATTGTTGTGTATCCGTAGCAAAACCATGCGTTCTAAATACTGTTAAAACTTGTATACATGCACATCGAACTACATAACATTATTTAATTGAACTTTTTTTTTTTTGAATTCTTACCGATAACAATTAATGAACGTTTATTTGAAAATGATCGACCAAAATCATTTGAAGCTATACAAACATAATCACCATCATCCGAATGATCAACTGAAGATATAGATAATGAACCTTAAAGTAAAAAAAAAAAGACAAACATGTCTTAAAATAAAAAATCTCTATTAAGATAAATATAAATATTTTCTTGTATTAAAATTCAAAATATCGAAAGAAACTGAGAAGAATTAAATTTTGACAGTTAATTTATTATACACTTGAATTATAATTATTTGTGACATTTTCTTTATCGAATTATTATATGTTGAATATATGGTAATTTCGAATGTATCATAAACAAATGTCAAATCGATATGATTTTGCTCGAATCGGTTTAATATTATATTCATTCAACCATTGATTTATTCTCAAATATTATTATGTCTGAGAAGTAATCCAACAAAAACAAAAACATACATTGTATTCAGTTATTGCGTAAGACAAAATTCCAAATGATTGATAAGCAATTTGATATCAATATCATCAAGAATGCTACGATTCTGTTTCAAGCTACATTCTGAAAAATATCCTATTATCATTTTATATCTCTGAAATTTTCATATACATGTATATGAATGAAGTATTTAATTGATAGGATTGCTTTAGCTTAATTTTTATTGAAAAAATTTGAGACAATAAAATTGTTGCAGCTGTCGTCTACAGTCTATATAATTCATTCTATGTTCTCTTTCAGCAAGCAACATCAATATCGATAGTGAGACATTCATCTCATGATTTTTGATATTAAATATCAACAGGTGAAATATTTCATTGTTGCACAAACATCTGTTGTCTCAAAAAAGACTTGCTAATTGAATAGTATTTAAATAGTTAATATAACTACATTAAAAAAAAAATGATATGCTTAATAAAATATACATTTTCTGTTTCAATTATTTTTAATATTTCGGAATTTTTAAAATAAAGAACTGCCATGAAAACAAGTAACAAGTTAATTAAATACATAGAAATACGAAGAACATAGAAAAAAACCCAGCTTTGCTGTCTTGAAGAGGTGGCAATCCTGTTAATAAAAAACAATTTCTGTTGTCTATGATACTATTTTATTTGGTTTTAGTTCTCATATTCAAAATGAAATTACTTTTGATGACAGATACAATAGAAGAAAATACTGAATGAATGTGGTATTATGTCATATGAATTTTTTATGCTAAGAGCATTTATTGTTTTCAGTCTCGTTTTTCAATTTATTAGTCGAATGTACGTGTAACGTGATAAGAAAGAATAGTTGGCAGCGCCTATCCCGTCTAAACCATTTTTGTTTTTGACCTTTCAAAAAATTATCTCATTATTCTCAGGAAAATTTCTAAGCCTACATTTACAAAGAGCATAAAATTCCAGCTTTGAACTCCTTGGAAATACTTTCAAAGTAGTCAAAAGTTTCGATCGATTAGTTATTATCAAACATCTATCAATATATAAAAAACTTACTTGAATAATTATTTTCTTTAATAATTATTCGATTTCCATCATGTTGAATAAAACGTATTGTTTTCATTTTTTCTGATATATTTTGTAAATGTATCCATAAAAAATTCATTGGATAGAAACTTTCTATTGATTTACATTCGGTATAAAATATACCACCTAATTGTATTCGTTTATTAAATGATGTTAAATTATTTACATCCAAAATAAATGGTACATTATAATAAATAGCTAATTTTTCTAATTCATTTTCATTATAAACTTTCATTAATTGTTTATTTTCATTAATATTATTTAAAGGTAATTTAATATCAATCCAACCCATAGATTTTATTTCATATGTTGAATTTAAATTAATTTGACATGTATATTTTCCAATAAACATATTAGGTTCTTTAATAACTAATACACTTATTGATGGTCCATAATAAAAATCAAAACAATTATTATTTTGAAATAATTGTTTACAATATATATCTCTATCATTATTTGTATCATTTAAAGATTCATAATGCCAACGTATACGTTTAGAATTAATTGAATGTGATATTTGACAAATATGATAAATAAAAGTATTAGGTTTATAAATAATAGTTAAATTACGTAAATCACGAGTAAATGATAAAGCTAATGAAGTTCCTTATTGAAACACAAAAAAGAAAGAGAGAATAAAAAAAACAGTGTGTTTTTTTCTGTTATTTACCTTGAATGAATATCCAGAATTGATAAATAAACCAAATAATAAACATAATTATATCAATTAAATCTATTGGAAACAACGATTACAAAGAGAATATTCTTTGATATATAAATTCGATTAAATGTAACTCGTACGCTTTCTACTATGGACAATAATTTAAAAGAAAAGAGGAAGAGGAGGGGACGGAAGTGAAGTGAATTGTTTTTAATTATTTGTATGGGTAATGATAAAGATGAATATGTGTGTGGGAATAGACACATATTGATAATGATTATATTAATTGTAGATATTTTTATTAATGATAGAAACTGTTGTCCTGCTTTTGAACGTATATATATACATATATACAAATAGATAAAAATGAAAGAATCAATCAATAAATTATTAAACAATTACCTTCTATTAGGATGAATAATGTCTATATGATAAATGTTTAGAAGAGTATTAGTAAATTTTTTTTTATCTTTGAAATAGGAAAGACAAAAAAAAAAGCAACAATGATAGTTTATATGATGTCGGCATCAATGAAAATGATGATTTATTTATTTAGTTAATTGAATGCTGACCAATGTCGATTGACTAGAAAGATTGACCTTGTCAGAATGATAGACATAGTCGATGAGATATATATTCAATGTTGAATATAGGTCATTTATTTCTGTACAATGTCATTGTAATATAATATTGTGAGAAACAACAAGGGAAAAGTACTAATTAATTGTTGTTCTGTTTATTCCCAAAAATGCATATTAACCACATATGAATGAACGTCTGATTTTCTATAGTTTGTTTATATACATATGAACAATATGGAAGAAAAAAGAAAACAGAAGCCAAGTCTTTCTATCGGTCTTCTTTCTCTTATTATTGTTACAATTTTTTGGAATCGATGTTCACATCTTCTCTTGTCTTGAATAAGTCGTTAAGAGAAGAAGAGGTTTATCATTTTGATTATTATTTCTTCGCCTTCTTTTCGGTAGAGGAGAGAAAAAAAACCGGATTCAATTAGTATTTGGGAATAATAAACTGATAGAATTAATCAAAACAACTAAGAAAATAAGAACTTTAACACCAAATGTAACATACAGATGATTTCTCGCTATTATACATCATCTTGGTTTGTACAGAACAGAATTTCTAATTCATGTATTAGAGATTATTTTTCGAATTTTGACATAATGAGACAACGATCATAGTAAATCATGATTTGTGCACTATACATATAAATTGAGTATTCGAATAGTATCCTATAAGATATAAACGAGTTGAGCAGTTTAAATGTTAGCTTCTAAAGTTCTTAACGCATACTGCTGAATTCGAAAAACAAACAGAAAAATTCTTGAAACATATAAAATAGTTATTATGTAAAATCTACCTGACACTTGAATATTCTTCCTTGGTTTGAACTTTTCTGAATTATTTTGCTTTGTATTATTCCCTCATGTAATGATCGTTTTACATTATCACAAAAGTAGTTCAGTCGTGACGTTCTGATTTGTAGTAGACAAAAAGAATATATTATAACTGTGAAATGCCATTTAAATAGACTCTCCTGAGAGAGAGAGAGAGAGAGAACAAAAAACTTGATATGTCGTCATATACAATTCAATCATTAATCCTTACCGTTCTTGCATACAAGCTGGTGAACAGACACAATATGTTGATTTCTCAAGTGGATCGTTATTTTTTCTCGTTTATATAGATTGAACTTTTGACAAGTACATGTTAGATCGTTATATGCGATGCATAAAAGTAAGACATTATGTCTATCGAATCAATTTTTCAGAAGAAACATACGTTCTTCTGTTTCTCTGAATAAAAATGATTACATATCATCATAATAGTTTATATTGAATCGAAAAACAAAAAATTTTTGTATATATATAAATATGTACAATAATATAAATTGATGGCTAGACTCTGTAAGGTTTCATATACATCAACATTCAAGAAAATAGAGAAATCAATGACAATAATGGTAGTCAATCAGTGCCTGCAAGCAAAACACAATAAATATTTAATGCTTTAGTGATTTTAATTATCGAATAAATATGCATTTGTGTAACTTGGTATCAATGTAATCACATTCATTATAATGCCGACTCACTTTTCTTATTACTAATTATTTGTTTTTGATCAACGGTGACTGAGTGTGTTCGTTTTGTTTCGTCTGTTAAAAGAACTCCAATTAAACACATAGATTGAATATAAGAATGATATTGAATGCATTCACATTTGATTTGGTTTCTTATTCTCTGTGATATATGAATTCTTAACTACATAGTCATATTATGAATAGAATCTATTCGTTATTCACTTATATCCTAGTAAATTAATAGTGGAACGTGTTGTATTTTAAGTAAAACATATTGAACATGTTCAGATATCATTATCGTTTCCATTGTCAAACTAATGAATTCAAAATATGAATTACTTATGACAAATTTGAATCTAGATATTCAACTTTTCTTTGAGGAATATAATTAATTCGAGAGCTACTTGCATTAACTTTTTAAACAGATTTTTCAGAAAAGAAGTTTCTAAAACCTTATTGAGATTTATTGGTTACATTAGAACTGCACTAACCAGATTCAAGAAAACGGCGAAAACTGGCACTATTTTTCATCATCTCATTAAATGATGAAAATAATGCGAGAAATGATGGTCGTTTGCTAATGAAAAGGCAACTGCCCGTAAAATTGGATGATGGATTACAGCAAAATACGATGGAACTTAATGTAATAATACGGCCATAGTGAATGTACTGAGTTCGAGGCATCCGTATACTAGGTTAGTTGTCAGCAGGGTATTTTTTTAGTGCCTTGTTACCAGTATGTCGCAGGGTATTGGTTGGACACGCGACTGGGAATTGTCTCAATACATGGGCGAGTGTGGTTCTATTCGACATTAAAATCCACCCACACCTTTACTATAAGAATTCATTCCTTATGAAAACTCATCTACAGATAATGATGAATCATATGACGAAGTAACTGAATACAAGAGGAAATGAATTATCAGAAAGGTGAATATGTATTATCGTGATGGAAAAAACATTCATGTATGTATCTACAATTATAATGTTTGGCACTAACACTACGTTCCATTTCAGTGTTATCAGTAACAAGCACATTGATTCTTAGAATATTCCAAAAATTTCAGTCGAAAACAATGTTCTTTCGTCGAGTTATTGAACATTCTTTTCAGCTGAAATTTTCAGGATATTCTAAGAGTCATTAGACCTATCTATAGACAAAGTTTTAGATCGACACTTCATGATTTGATTTTTCGGAAACTACCTACAAATGAGTCGAAAATCCAGCAAACTGGTCAGCATTCGGCGCCAAATGCCTTGGAAAGACGAACTCTTTTAGGTTTTCGCTATTTTCATTGAGGCCTTGTCGTTGATTCGATATGAGCTTAAATGGCGGATGTCAGTTAGAGTAATATCGTCGTTAGCGAAATCGACCAGATTTTAAAAGCAGAAGAATACCATCTGAATTTTGAATCACTTATTTGTTTGTTGTCATTTATGGAAGAAACTAAATAGTATACTTTTTCATATAAAATAAAAGTTTAAAAACCGTACTATGACTATGAAAGTATTTGTTGGATGTCAATTAGTTCTGATTGGATACCTGGTACAGTTATCTGTACAGGATACTATTCTACAATTTCAAGTCGCATTTTGTTATTCATCAAGAATCAAAACATTCAACTATTCAAACTTGATCAAATACTGAATAGTTTCTTTGAAATTGATTTATTTATTCTATACCATTTGTGAAAAAAAAAATAAAGAAAAAAAAGAGCATACAAGTACATAAGAAAAATAAACAGATACAATTTACTAATAAGAAAAAAATGACTATACCTAATGATTATAAAAAAAAAGAAAACAGATCACATATGTCTACCTGATTCGATTGCACAGAAAAATACAAATATCATCATCATCATCATCAATGATGATTGAATCACAAACAGAACAAAAAAAAAACGAATCATTAATTTTCTAATAATTCATTTGCTAATTTATTTATAAGTGTTCGTTGTTGTACACAATATAAACTAACTTTTAATAATTGTTCATTTTCATAACGTTTAATAATTATTTCATATTCTTTTGAACTATTACCAGATAAATAATTATTAATACATTGTGCTAGAATTTGAATACCATTTGATAATGATTGAAATGTTTTATATGGTGAACGAATTTGTAAATCATAAGGCCAACATTGTTCAAATGTTAATAATTGATTTTGATTAAGAATATAACGTGCAATATATGTTGCACTAGCAGCAAGAAGTGATGGTGATAAATCAATACAAGATATATCAAGTAATGACATATCAATAAGAAATTTACCAATAGCATGTTGTTCATCACTAGCACTTGAAATAAATGAATAACGACGGAGAAATTGAAGACTAAAATTTTTTAATATAAATATTATTTTATATTTTAAATAAAATAATTTTATATACCTTGTAGGTCGATTAAGTTCAAATCGTAATTCATGAAGAATTTTCTTTTCCATTTCTTTTACTTGATCATTTGTATATGTATGATCAGTAACATAAACAAGTTCATCGACGGACGGATGATGAGTTTCCTGTGAATATAATATAATGAATTTTTTTAATTATATTAAATTAAAAAATAATTTATTATAGGTTGATATGATATTAACAACTCTATAAAATTTATTTTTCATTCAGCAGTATAATGAAAAGTCTAGCATTGTATTTAATTTTCCATTATATTGTTTCTATAAAGTACTCTATAGAAGATCTTCTTACAAATTTGTATGCTTCGATATAGCAGAAGGCACAAAGTCTTCTATTGCAGCAAGTAATTGAGTCAAAATGCTTTAAATTTTTGCTACTTGAGATGAGAAAGTTAACATATACGCATGAGTCATCATATTGGATTTAAATATTTTGGATACGCGCTCGATTCATTAAACTTTTTCGAACTCGAACCGTACTCTTAATGAAATATTTCAATCTGAATCTCACAATCGATAGGAAGGTAGAAGATAA